GCATCCGAAGATGTAAGACAAATCTATGTTATCTATGGAGCAAATATATATTTTGCAATGGGAGTTGATTTTCACATTTTCCCATCACAGCGTCTGACGTCATCTACTGTATTTACCGGGTGAGGCACAAAAAACGCGCTGCTCTTTGAAATTTTGTGGCACCTCTGAATCAGCAGCTGAAACTATGAAACTATTTTCATAGACACCTCTAGGTATCCTTTGAGCATTCTAAATTTTTTTGGCTAGTTATCTCCAGCCGCTTCAGCACAAGAATGATTTTACAAAAGCAACTGACATTTTATTTTTGTACTCGCACCTGGACGCTGACGGAGGACCTGTCCCACACATGGGGAAGGACCATTTATTTTCTGGATATTTTCCTCTGCACTTCAGAACTCTGAGGCGTCCTTACGTCTACCATTTTGCAATATAATATTTTTTGCATCCCAAGATTATCATCTTCAGAAACAATGACTTCTCCCACATAAACGCAGATTCCCTCAGTACGGGCTAATTTTAGCCTCTCAGATAAACTGGTTCCTCGCAGCTGGTGAATCAATCTTTTAACAGGCCAACATTTCTTTTCTTCTTGCAAAATTGTGCCCACCCTATCCTTTCGTAGAGCAGCATTTGGGGAGATAGAGGAACTCTGTTCCAAGATTGTTGCGCTCCACGCCTACCAGCTATTCTTCCTTCTTCAACTGATACGTTTGCTAGCGCAAAAATACAATTCGAGTCGCCTTCGCGCATTTGATCCTGTGCTAAAATGGCAGGAGAAAAGCCAACAAGGACTTTAGGACGTTTCAAGGATACGTAGATTTCGTTGGCTTAGCTTAGCTTATCTTAGCTGCTGATAGTTCGCTATGTTCCGCTCGCAGGCGCTTCCCCAAAAGTGACGTCACTCAATGACGTCGTTTTCCTCAGTCGGAGGAAAAGACTTCTGTACGTCCGCAAGCGACGTGCTCGAAGCAAGTCTCGGAGCCTTCCTCGGCCTGGCTCCAAGTGTCTGTCTCGCTCTTTCAAGCACGCACTTTCTTTCTGGCCTCTAATTTCTGATCCGGCTTTCCCCTTTCGAATCCATTCTCGAGAATGGGAGAGAGAGGAATTGTACGTCCTGCGCACCCCCCTCCCCTTCCTGCTTAAGAGGTGTTTACAACACGATGCGATTGGATTATTGTTTCCCGCTTCTAACACTTGGAGTTCCCTTTCATCCCGCTGAAGGAATAATGACTTACTCCCCGTGATGAGGTCTTTGCTCCTGAATTCATCAGGACGTCAGCCTCTTCATCGACCAGAACTTCGTCCTCGTCCTCGGCACTCGCCAGGAGATGTACCTCCATCTTTCCGATTTCGGAGGTACATGCCACAGGGCATGTACCTCCAAAATTTTTCTTTGGAGCAGGTCATTCTCCAATGAGATATTCCAAGTATTGCCTCAATGCTGAAACAGTGCCCGTGTTTTCAAGGCTTGCTTATTGCATTAATTTAACTGGGGGATTGGGGCTTGGGGTGGGGTGAACTGTAGCTAGGGGAATGAAGAATAGTCCCAAGCAGCACCTAAGGAGCGTCTAATGAACGTTTCATTAAATGCGTTGCCAACATTCTATGAACGTCCTCGCTCAAATTTCCCGAATTTAAAGTTATCAAAAACAATTCAAATGATGCGTCCCCTCAACGTTCATTCAGGATAATTGAATATTCCCTAACAACGTCAAAGGGTTGCATTCGTAATACGTGCTCCGTCATCTGCTCCCGTTACAGGGGTCATAGGCAATCGTATTATCAATTATTCTAATTGGAAGTACTATATTTGGGAATATCGGTATCCTGATCTCAGCGTGCGGGTGAGAATCCTTTCTCAAGTGAGAACTCTTTTCTGAATGAGGAGCATTTCCTCCTCTACACCGGAAATGCGTGAGGAGAAAGAGTTAGATGACGAAAAATTCTTCAATTTTTCCATGATACCCCTCTCCGCACTTTTTTTTTGTCTTTTTCCATAAACAACGATAAGGATTCATTCCTCCATTCTACAGGGTGAGTGTGAGAAAACTTGTTTTGGCTTATTATCAGGAAGTATCAACGGCAACTCACTTTGCCACCCAAAAAATCTAATGGTGTCTGTTAGACTAATAACAGGTCTGATTTAAAACCTTGTTGTGTTTCTCATATCGTGAAACCAATGTTATTACTAAACTTGTCATATTCAGGATAGGTGGGAAACTATAGTTGATGAGGAAGTTGTCAGTTGGTAGGGACATCAGTTGCGGGGTCCTCTAGAGAGGTGTGCGTTTAGTATCAAGTCTCGTATCATCAAATCAAGTAGCCTGAAAAGTTTGCAGGATGGACAATTCACAGGTATTAGGAAAGCACGCAGGCCGAAAACTCAGGCGCTGGCAACACCTTAGCAAGAGACGATGTGTTTTATCGATTGAAGCTGAGTTGGCCAAGACTGCCATCTAGGTTTCTCAAATCAAAATTATAACTTCAGTACATGATCAGTAGGTGGATGATGAATGTTGTCCCCCTAACCTAAACCTGTCACGTCTACCATTCACACGTGACTTGGAGCTTCCATGTGACAGGTCAATTAGGAGCCTCGATAAAAAAAATATTAATAAATAATCACCGTTTCATCTAATCTAATTTGAGATGGGAGGTGAAGAGATATGAGAGTCGTCCAAGTTTCGTCGCAGCATGAACTCGGATTCTGTAGCCAGAATCAGAATGAATCATTTATTTTTTCAATGCCTCTTTCGACAGGGCAACCACATCTCGGATCACTAGCAGGTCTACACATATTCAAAACATGCATACCTGGGAACATACTGAATTATAATCATGACAGGCTTACAGATGCAGTAAATCAAGCAACTGCGCATTTTTTAAATCTGCACCCAAAGGATTCCTAGCGCACAGAAGACCGGATTTTTCTTTGAACCAGGCTGAATTCCGAAATATTAACACAATTTGATGCAAGGAAACGCTTAGAAAACGTGCGTAACGTGGTGCACTCAAAATGTTTTCATGTTCAAAGCCTACAGTGTCATTCTTTCTTCAATCAGCCCCTGTAGTTTCCTCTTCCGAAATTGGCTCTTTGAATTCACTTTTAGAGCGTCTATGCGCTACTACAATGTCATATGAACAAGGCCTGCCGGTTTCATTTGACACCGTGATGATCCTTAGCACCCGATCAATAGAGGTAATTCATCCGGCGAATAGAGGCACGATGATAATGTAAGAGTGACAAAAGAGCACATCATTCTGCAATTCCGCATTTCGGAAGATAGACCTCCGCAAGGAAACTGAATGGTAAATGGCGACGAACTGACGGTGTGCCCAGTATTTCCTTATGGACGCTTAAAATCACTGGATTCCAGACAGGAGGCGGGAGGTACTGCAGTGAACGATGCTACCGTTCCCTTGCGAGTACAAAGGCAACCCTCGTCTCCTCGTTCATCCGATAGATGGGGAGACGAGAGCGAATCTCAGATTGTCCGTGAAAGTTGCCTTCCCTCCCTTACGTGAGATTGATTTGCAAATTTCATTTCGAAGAGGCATATCCTCGGATGATAAGGAAGAGTTCTGTCGAAACCCAAAGTTCATATCTCTAAGCGTTCGGCCTGTAGAGCTGTCACACAAATACACAATTGTCGCTCGGCCTAGCTAGCGGTCTGGAACACGCACGCTATATGTTGAACGGCAAATCAAAATAATTTAATAAAATCATAGTAAAATCATAATATCAAGTAATATCAAGTAATCATAATAAAATCACGACAATGCAACATAGCGCGACCTATGTCAAATCATTTCACCTCATTCAGCTCAATCAGCACGTCATTGGAGCATGGAGAAAAAAAGAAGAAAAAGAACTCATTCTACATAGGGTTGCAATTTGAAAGCAGCATGAGCACGCGTGCATCCGTTCGAATCGCGGACGAGCAAAGGAAGGCACTAGCATGTCAGGCGGCTCTGTGACAAAAGGGAAACCAATGAGGGGAGAGTGAGCAAAGAAGTGGATGGGCGTCTTCTCCATTCAAGCCTTTATTTCCCAAAATTCTAAAAATACCTTTCCAGGGCAGGAAGGCGGCATCTTTCTTCTTCCCCCCACCCCCGCCCCCACCGAAAAAACAGGCATTGTCAACCTTTGGTTTCTGGAATAGCAGATTTGATTGATGCTCCCCACTTTGATTGATACTCGTTTTATTTTCGCACTCGCACCTGGACGGGACGGGAGGACCTGTCCCACCCATTAGGAATGGCCTTTATTCGCAGAATTTTCCCTCTGCGCTTCAGAACTCGCTAAGCAGATTTCTGACGCGCGCTTACGTTTACCAATCTGCAAATAATATTTTTGTATCCCAGGAATATCATCTGGACAAACAATGATTTCTTTCACAGGATCGCAGTTTCCTGCAGTTCTTCAGTCCTTCAGTTCCGACTAAATTTTGTCTTCCTTCCGCAAAGAAGAAAAAAGAGCAATATTTCAAGAGAAGGAGGAATTCTGGCCCCACAGTTGTGCGCTTGCTTGTACGTAGAAGTCAAGTCATTGCACAAAAAATTGCCAATGCTCATGAAATCTACAATGAAAATCAAAGAGCGGCGGGCTTTTTTTAATTATCTCATGTCCCCATGATGTCGTTGTAAGGCATAGCGTTGTCAAATGAATCGCCACAATGAATGACACGTCTTTGCTGTCACTAACAACTACTAGCTGAGAGTCATGAAAGACGCGTCAATAAGCGCCAATGCATTCTCGCTCCACATTCTCTCTTCCCTTTAATTTCGGATCCATTCTGAGAGAGAGGTGCATCAGGATGCCGATGCGATGCGAAAGGAGGAGGGGCAAGAGAACCGCGGGATGATGCATGGCTGCATCTAGAAAGAGGAGGAGGAGCCAGGGAGCCAAGGAGCTGTATTCAATAAGGAACGGAGTAAGGGTATATGATGGGTGGGAGGCAGTGGTGTAGTGGGAGGGAGCTCAGCTTCAATGGCAGGGGATGCCGGTTCGAACCCAGGGAGGGGGAAAGGGAAGGAGGGGATAGGAGGAATAGGAGGGGATAGGAGGAGAAAGGGGTGGAGATGAGTCGGTAGGTAAGTGGGTGTGGGGGGGTGGCTAGGTTGGAGATGGGTCCACTTGGAGCCAAATGGTGAAGGGACGCTTATCCGAGTGGACCCATCTCAACCTGACCAGTTGAGATAGTGGGTGGGGGGTTTTTGTCTATTTCATCCTCTGATATCTGAANCAACCTGACCAGTTGAGATAGTGGGTGGGGGGTTTTTGTCTATTTCATCCTCTGATATCTGAAATGATATTATCCATTGTCTTACCTTATCCAGATGCCTACATGCACAGCTAAGATCTTCTCGCGAGATGATCTGCTAGCCTTCATAAAGGAAAACAAGAACAAGCTCATCGTCATCCATGTCTACTCACGTGGAGGAGATGTGGAGAAGATAAAAAGGAGAATTATGGAAAAATTCTTCCTGGATCCTGGATTCTTCCTGGTCTTCCTGGATGCAGATTTGGAGGATACTGAAGTAATGGAGTACTTCTGGTTAGACAAGAAAGAGAGTGACTATTTTATTATGGTGTTGTCACAGAAGCAGGCAGATTTAGATGCCATTCATGGATATTTTTCCAATTGGGGATTTCGAAGAGATGGGGTATATACCAAAAAGCTTCTTTGGGGTATACCGTATGGGTATACCGTATGTAGGTACCGTATGAAATGGCTTCCCTTGTCTGAAACTGGAAATGTTGCTTTTAAATCAATTCAGCTAACAAAATAATAAAAGAAAAATCCACAAACATGTGCATAACATGTCCAGTCAATTCCACGACGGTCAATTCCCCGACAGGACAGTTCGCCGATGTTACACATCAACGAACTTATGGTGGCAATCAACCTATTACGCGAATAAATGTCCTTTTATGGAATTTCTAAAATTCAGATACCAGTGAGGTCCTAATCTGAGTGTTGCGGCTCAACTGACGTTTTTTCTGTTCAGGGACACTAGCCAAAAATTAAATGCCACCCAATCTGCTTCATGTCCAGATGTCGTTTCATGGTCAACCCCTTGTCTCTGAAGAGACACAAGAGAATGACACAAATAATAACCATACCCGATTAAAAGTTTCATTTTGATTTAATCGAGAAAATGACACGAGAAATGCTTTTCCTGACAGTACTCCGTAATGAATCATGCTCCCGTGCGTGCACGGGCTGAAATAAGTCGAACCCGAACATTTCTTGAATGACTTTCTGCCATTCTTTTTTTGACATTTTTGTCAGTTCCTGGAAGCAGCCTGCGAAGCAGCGTTTTGTAAATGTCGTCATGCTCTTCATTCCACTGTGATTGTGACTCTAGAAGTTCTCTCTTGCTCGCACGTTCTGTCTGGTTCGTTCTGTCTGTCTGGTTGACATTTTTGAGCTCTCGACCCAATAGTTATCGTCAACGGGTTTCGAATGACACATATAGTTTAAATCGGAAGCACACAAAACGGAACAATTAGTAAAGAGATGCGAGGCGGGAGGACGGAAGATTCCCCTTTTCCCTTATGTAACGATGAGTTCCACCGCATAGCATTCTAAGGGGACACAAGTTTAAAATTGCTTTCGATCAATTATAAGGGGATGCGTTTCGTCTCTAGGGAAACCCCAAATGCAAATGCAAATGTTCAGCAAGTTTCCCTTCTTAACGGTTCAGTGTGATCCGTGAACCACGGATCCATGGTAGATTACGGGATTATTTCGAGCTTGGGAAATGCAGCCATTTCCCTTATACTGGAACGGCTCGCTGACGTCATCACGCCGGACAAGGACGACTGTCATGAAGGGCTCTGCCAATTATATCCCAAAATATTCATAATTTTCTGATTTATATTGCTTTGACTGATGTCAATGTCGGAGAATCCTGCAGGAAACGGTCACGTTTTCCCCTGCATGCCTCCTCCCTCGGATAATTCCCCACGCTGCTTCCGCGCATCCTATGGCAGAATGATCCATGGCACTTGAATCGTCTTTCTAGTTGATCCGCGTCCAGTGCAAGGCTGAATACGCGAGCAGAACTCACAGAAATTCTTGCTGAGGGAAAATTGGTGCTTCTGATGACATGATCTGTGCATGAGATAACTGAGAGTTCAAAATACATTCGAACAGTATGTCTTATTTGAATAGTATGTGGCGGTAAACCTGAAAATTGCCATTTTACGATTTTTTAATAACAATTTATCAATCATATGGGACTTCTGCCGGGAATATTCCAGATGTCCGTATTACCGAAAGATCCGGATTACCGGCGTTCGGATTAACGCGAGTTGACTGTATGTCCCTATTGTCCACACTTCGAGACAGCGAGACAGGAGAGGAGAAGGCGGGTGCCATGCAAATGCTGGCAGGGGAAGGAGGGGAGAGGGGAAGGGGGAATGAGGAATGAGAATGTGCGAGAGCATTTGCGTGAATCCGTCCGCTCATGCTGTTGGAAAAACAGCATGAGCAGACGGTTGGAAAAAAAAACTTCAACGAGTATATAGTCCCAGCATCTGATAGCCTAGAAAGCCGATACAAGTATCATCTGAATTATGGGGCGTTCAGCCACATGATGCGTGGAAGCAGCTTTGGATATTAAGCAAGGAAGGAGGAGGTATGCTGGGAAAACATGACCGATTCATGCATGCTTTTGTTTTCCGATAATAATCACTCGTGTTGCATAATCACTCTAAATCAGACAATTGCCAATATTTTCGCATATAATTGGGCAGAGCCTTCCATGACAGCCACCTCTAAAAATGTGTCTGACAAATTGTGAAATCTCATTCGATCCGCAGAAATTCTATTTATCTAAAAGCACGCGATTTTTCGGGAGGATTCTCAAATGCCGAGCAAAAACTGTCGATAATATTTAAGCTACTCTTTGCATGGAGAAGCAACTGGACATTATGCAAAACTTGTCCACAGATTTTTCGATGCGTCTCTCACAGCAGATTTGGGATGGGCAAAATTGAGGTTCAAGGAAATGAGATTTTCGCAGAATCCGTTCTCCATCCCGAATCCGTGGTAGCACCATCATGAGTATTATGCCATTATTTAGAAAAGAATCTCGTAAAGAAAATGAGGCTAATACCAAGGTTCTCCATGGAAGCAGGCTGGATATATAAATCGTTGAAGAGACCCATCGAAATCGTGACCTTAGAACGGCTGTCTTTCCTTCTTTTCTTCTCGTCTAGACATGAATTCCTTGAGGGGAAATGCTAACCCTTAGCCCATCGCATCAATGAAGAAACTTCCAATTCCTGTCTGTTCTCCATTATATATTCAGACGATTGCTTGTGAAGCAGCAGTCTGAAAAAGGAGACAAGAGGGAGTCAGCCGATTATTTCTTCATATCATTCTCTGCCGTATATTCGTATGCCGTAATATCCGTATTTTGTCGAGCAGTACAAGGAGTGGAGCCAAGCATGGTCAAAAGAAGCTCCTTCTTTCCCTTCACCCCTCCCTCCCTCCCTCGTCCGCCCCCAGGCACCAAGAGCAGGAATCGGCCAAAATGCAGCCAGTTCCCTTAGACCGAGCGTCAAGTGAACACACACTTCCTCAGCGCCGTCAAGAGCATCCTATCCAGCCAGCATATCCAGCAGCCTCCCTGATCTTTCACCTTCTCTTTCTCTGCCGTCTATCCCTCTCTTCTTTATCGAACAGTCATAAAATAAGGAAGAGATAAAATAATTAATGGAAACCACTCTGTCTCTGTCTCTGCCGTTGCTACTGCATTGACTTCCTTACTTATTGGCTTCTTCACAACTTATCACCAAAAAGAAAAAAAGAATTTCCTTTTTATATATTTCCTTTGTTTTCCCTGTTCTCCCACTTGCTTTTCCTAGCTATTTATCTGCCTTTCTTCCTGTGTCGTTTTGCTTTCTCTTTCTAATAATCTGAGAATGACGACGTTTCAGGAGACATTTTTTCAGCTCCCTGGACAGATCTTCAGTGAAATCATCCCGTTCGCCCTATTTAGGTGAGTCATACATGTATTAAGAAATACTTTAACTTATTTGAAATACAGTGGAAACTCGCTAACTCAACCATGATGAGACGAAATTCCGCTTATGTCTTTCTTGTTCATCTAAGTTCGATGCTTGTTCTGGTAGGACAACCATGTTAAATGCTGCGTTTAAGTAGAATTCGCTAATCTCGAATTTCCGAATATCTTGAACCACATTCTCATTCCTGATTACGATTTTCTAATAGTTAACTTGAAGTCATCTTTAATTGAGGCAGTGAAGGAGGAAAAAAAAAATATTTTTTGGGACTTGGCACTTCTTTAAATAATAGGGGTAAAGAGTTGCCGCAGTGACAGAACCAGTCATTGAGGCCTCTATCATTGTCATCAAAATTCGTTTATATGAGTGGGCCCAGGAATGAGAGTGATGAAGAGGATGAAGCATCCTTCAAATACGTGCCGTATTTGAAGGATGCTTATTGTTGAATACCTATTCTTCAGCCTAGGGCTGTGCAACCTTTATTGGCAGTGGGCCCCATGAAAATGTCTGACTCTTCACGAGAGTCACAGAATGCGAAAAGACTCCCCTCTTGTGCCCTTATGGCATATTAAGGCATTAGGTTGCACTGATTTGTAGTCAAGCAGATATCATTTGGTACACTTTTCTTTTCATTTCACATATCATTTGGACGTTACGCATTGTCACATCAAACATAATGCGAATTTCCTCTTCATTCCAAATTTAAATTAAGTGTTGAATTCATTCATTTCATACGCCCGCCATCATGAGAGTAAGAGCTGTACTTGCTCACTCCGAAAAGTTGAAAATAATAGAGAACCTGGGAATGCATGAAATGTTCAGACATGACTAGTTTCCCAGCCTCCTGGGGGAAAAAAAAAACACCTATACGCTGGTCCAATTTTTGCCAGGTCGCAGAGGCTGGCTCCTTCCCAACGCCCTTTTATTGAGAACTTCCTTCATTGGGCCATCTCCACCAGCGTCAGCGTGAGCAATAATTAGGGGAAAGAGGTGAAAGGACAAACTGTTTATTTATAGTTGCTGAGTGATGATGAAAGTTGTGATGGGCCTTGGGCCAATAAGGAACTTATTTTATTTTGTTATTCCATTACCCATTACCTGGCAGCAAGAAGCAGCTCCACGGGTCGTGGATTGCATATACCTGCTCCCCCGCTGTGGCTGGTGATTTGTAGATGGGTGGGTGAAACTTGTTACTGTAATTTCGGCGGCCTGAATTCAGCATTCTGCATAAGTAAATTCCATGGAAAAGGAAATTTGGTACTCTTTAGACCGATGAAACACAAAGCCACTATCACGTGCATTCTCAAATTTATAATCAATACCTTTTTGCCGTGAATACTGCAAGGTTCGAAGCATCATGAATGAATAAAATCGATAAATGAGGCTGCTGGAGCGGTTGTAGCATGGGCCATCCCGAATCCACTGGTTTAGGCCCTATTTTTTAAATGAAACATGAGCATCCCATTCAAAATTTTTAAGGACCAATTCCGTTCAGTTGATATAGCTTTCTGAAAGCCTCTTGGTCATTCTGCAAGACCTAGTCCAAAGAACCAAGGCAAGACTTCTAAAAGGCATGTCACTTTTCAACAATTCGCACTGCCCAGATTCCTGGAAAACTTGGCTTGTAGTGGACCTAGTGGACCGGTTGAGAAACCGTAATGACCCTTGAGGCATCAAAGTCAGCTTGGTTCATCCACCTCATGATGTTGTAGAGGTCCCTTCGGGTTAAGGCCATCGGATTTTTTTTTCTGAAGACATTTCTAGATGAATAATATGAAGAAATATTCACTCAGGCGCAGCTGACTGCAGGAAATTAGAGGCTGATTTTATTCTTCATTGATAGATACTCATTGGCCTATAAGGAATTTCCTGAGAAATCTTGAGAAGGATTTCAATAAATAAATTCTCGTCTTTCTAAAAATTAAAACTCGATAAATTTACCTTGTCATTAAAAGTACTTCATCAATCGACTACACAGGATCTAATAAATAGCATGAGTTATGCATATACACCAGGAATAAAACTATACATACAATAAGCAAGACTCACCTTCAGGTAGACCTTCAGATCGTACTTGATGAAAAAACAGCGACAAGAACAGTCGTATTACATGAAAAAATTTTGTCAAAATTTCGCATCTAGTTTCCATATCTTAACAAAAGTTCCAATCATTGACCTTTGCACCACGTAAAGGCTAATAAAGGACCAGCTGAAACTTTGCATGAATGTGACTCCTGAGACAAGGAGTTAAATAAAAATGTTAAGTCTCGATACATCCCCTGGGGGAATTTTTTCGAGGTGCGATGTTTAAAAAAAAAATTGTCGTGGCTAATTGGACAGAAATGGAAATGTGAAACTTGGCACACGTATGAGTGAAAGATATTACTGAGGTGTGGGAGCATTCAGCTTTCATGGTGCATTCCCTCTGGGCATAGTGTTTGGGTGGGTCGGCTTTTCCAAACATGTTTTTTCACCAGCGAAAAGGGCAAACGTATAATATTGAAACGTTGTGGGCATGTAGTTCACTAAGGATGGATTTCGGAATAAAATAATGGTACGTTCCGGTTAAAACGGCTCAGGGCACATATTTTTCAAATGGTGTATTTTCACGAATTTTCTGATCCAGCAAAACAGAGGGCGCATGAAAGTTAGTAGAGAAATGAAACAGACAGAAAATATAAACTTTCCTCAGAAGTACCTGTTTAATGACTGAGTACAGGAAAAATCCTACTTTTGAAATATGTCCTATTAACGTAGATTATTGGAGGGAAGTATTTCAAATTATATTCTTCACCCTTACAAAAAGGGACACAAGAAAAGATTTAAAGTTAGGCACACAGAACCATAGAAGTAATGATTTTGATAAAAATCAAGACTTTTATCCCCATATGTCATGTATTTCAATGGGGACGTACTTTAAATACGTACTTACCATTTCGCAAAAAAGAATGAATTAATCACTATCCAAGGTAATGGAGCACCGAAGGCGCGACCAATAGCGAGTTTGTTTGCCCTTCGGGCAAACATAATATAGAATTATATATAGCATATGAACACTACATTTCCTTGATGTAATGGGACTTACTTCAATGTGGGACGAACACTTCAATCTTAATGTATGTCCCTTCCCATGCTGATTCCATGCATCAATCAATTTAATTCTCTTGCAGCATTGCCCAGGAGGACGAGGAAGTTATTGTGCGTGAATTCTCCGAGTGTATCACTGAGGATACTCTCAGGCCATACATGAAGTTGAAGCATGCCGAAAAGAGCGGAGAGTGGAGAAATTACGTGCAGATTTGCTTGGGGGGCCATGGAACTAAAAAAATCCAAACAGGAAACATCGAGCTTAGGATCATTCTCGGAAACCGGATGGAAGTGACAGAAGGATCTTTCAATCAACCTTTCTGTGCGTCAGTATTCTCCTATGAGGGGAGAACAATTACGATTTCGTGTAAATGTTGAAGGCTGAGTATTGTTTCATGAAGGTAGTCGATGTCGATAGAAGTCTGCTGGGGCTTCGCAACCACCAAGGCCACTGCAGGGGAGAGAAAAAAAAATCCCCATATTCTACGTGACAGACAGCCTTTGCGAGGCGGCAAGGATTGAGCAAGCACTCCATCAACATAATTTGAAAACACAATCAGCCGTGCTAAGAAAGGCAGAAAGTAAAGGTGGGCATATCACTTTGGTGCGATAATAATGAAATTCTTCTTTGTCTATGGAAACTATGTGATCGGATGTTCATGGTACTACATGAGTACTACATGAAGGCAAGTTCTTTTCTTGATACAGGACCCCTCTTCGTGCAAGCTCACATGCATTGTGTGATTGCCAGCAGCTCGGTGATTCCCTTGTTAACATCAGTCATCGATATGAAGGATCTCTTGGAGAGCCTCAGGAAGCCGAACCAATGGATTCTCTCCAATGTTAAGGACTTGAGTAAGTGCGGTCTATTGCAGTCTGCAAAAAGTGGTACGTATCATGAAGTGATGGGAACGTTGGTGATGATGAATATGTCGTGATTAGTAGCTACCATATTGATTTCTTTGTACTTACAGAAGTTTCAGACCTCCCAGAGTCCTTGAAAAATTTATCTCTGGTTGAGTTGGATTTGGTTCTGGTGGGAGAAGGGGAGAAACACCCTGATGATGCTCAAGAGGATCCGCCAGATACCCCCAGGCAGGGAGAGAACAACTCCAATGGGGAAGAACATTTTGAATTCGAGACTGAGTGAGCTTTACATGATATTCTTTCACGACTGATGCAGTTAAGCTGAATATTTATCAATTTATTCGATAATGCCATGAACGGATTCAGGGATGCGATTGGGGACATCACAGCAGAAGAGTTCCTGGAGAACGAAGACACCGACATATTTGGTCATGATTTCATCCATCTCAGCTCATCATGTGGGTCATGTTCATTAAGATTTACCTTTCACTTGGACCACACATGAAAAACAGGGCGGTATTCTTCGTATGCTTCGGGCGGTATGCTTCGTTTAGTTTCACTCTTTTTCGCTCTATTTGCAATTGCTTTTGCTGAAATATGTATTGATTTTGGGATATGAACCAAGTGGGGTTGGGACGACGTATGAGGAACACGAGGAACTTCTGTGACATCGATTTATTCTCATTTTTTCAAACTTTCAATAGTTTTCCCATCCCATTCCTTCTCCGCCCTGTTTTTGAATGCACATCTTTGAATGCAAGAGATCATGAAAATTATTATGGCTGCGTCCTAGGAGGCGCATCTCTCCAGTTCAATAACATGAGTCATTTCAGTAAGGTCAACTAAGAATTTCAGAACATTTGCCTTTATGAAAATACAAACGTTGCTGATCCATACAATGCAATATCTCTAGTTTTTCTTTGGTGAAATTTCACCTAATTTCATTCAAAATACGATTGAAATGTATGTATTGAATGGTTATATGGAAATGACAAAAATCTCACTTCTGTTTCAGCGGTCATTCCCCCTGAGACACGTGTATCGAAATGAGGGAATGGAATGAGTCATGGAGAATCTTTAAGCCATGGATATTACCAAGTTACTCAGGAAAACAGGTCAGTCTTTTCTGAGATTAAAGTGATGGCTGATGAATATTAGTCTGAATTAGTCATAATCAGAAATGTGTCCGAATTACAGGAACCAAGGTGCACATGGAATTCAATGAGATAGCATCGGAAGGCAACGGGTGATATTGGTGAAGGAGTGCAATAGAATCATGGAAGAGATGCAGAGAATTCCTGGAGTGCCTCTGATGAATAGGGAAATTTATCAACATGAATTCAAGTGTTATTGTTCCTAATTGCCTTTACTCAACCATGAAAATTTTGGGTTTTTCCTGTTTGTTCACCCCCCCATGTAACAACACCTGCTTCCTTCTTCTCTGTCTCCTTTTCCTTCTCTTTGTTTCGCTAGTTTCATTGATTAGGTACGGATTTGATCTGATGTGATATTGTTTTTTTTTTTTAAATTCTGGTATTCAGTAGAAAGTATGAAATTATGATTCCTCTCTCCTTAGCTCTTGCTACTCCAAGACATGGAATCAGTCCTCCAGCGTTTCTATTGCTCTGAGATGTCTAAATGATGTATGTAACTGCATATTACTGTACCAATATTCCCATGTGTAATTGGCGCCCTTCAGAGTGTTGACTTTTTAAAATTATCCATGAAAGTTGAATGAAATAGTTATTTACTTGTCATTATCATTATGGGAACATGAAAATTTCCCTCTTGGGGAGGAGGAAATTTGAAAAATGTTGACAATGATATTAATTCCAGTTGATTGGAGGTCGAAAATCTCTGTGGATGAAATTTATGAAGGGGCGATTTGAGACACATTTTGGAAATTTCAAAGGAGGCAGAAGACACATTAGGGAACATTACGATTCCTGTATTGATACGGTTTCGGCTGTTCGTTCAAAAATGTATATAGCGTGTTCAGGAGTTGGAACTATTGGGTCGATCGGAAAGTTCTGGCCGTTTCGAGAATTTTCCAGAAAATAAATTCTGGAACTTTCTCGAACCTACCACAGTAGCAGTATATAAAGGGCGTGTGGGCGTGAATACGCAGCAGTTGCTTAGTTTATTTTTCAAGATTAAAAATTCAAGATAGTGACATCAAGAGGCGATTTCACCCATTTCCATATCACGTGCCGAGGTCGAGCGTTCCTTAATTTTAGGGAATGCCGAACCCTCTTGAAGCTAAATATATATATATATTTTTATTTTCTTCACTATCCTAGTTGCTTACTGTCTGGTACCTAACATCAACATTGCCCCCCATCTTCTTGCCTGTCCATGGAAGCATCCAGTCTCTTCTTAAAGATAGTCACAGAAGGGGCAGCCACCACTTCGTCATCTAGCGCATTCCATTCGTTAGTCGTTCAAAGCTTATAACCACGACTTCCAAAATGAACTTCAACAAGACCTCCTAACTCCAATGCCTTCTTTACGACTTCCTATCTGGCATCACAGCAGCGGAATCGAGTCGCCGCATCTGCGCCGCGTTCGGCCAAGGTGCAGTTTATGAAAGGACAGCGCGACGATGGTTCCATCTTTTCCGGTCTGGAAATTACAGCCTCGAGAACTTCGACTGATGGTTACAGCCCGAATTCCACACCCCGAATTAAAACGAATCTCGTTTACTTCAATTCTAAGGTCACGATTTCGATGGGTCTCTTCAACGATTTATATATCCAGCCTGCTTCCATGGAGAACCTTGGTATTAGCCTCATTCTCTTTACGAGATTCTTTTCTAAATAATGGCATAATACTCATGATGGTGCTACCACTGGTTCGGGATGGAGAACGGATTCTGCGAAAATCTCATTTCCTTGAACCTCAATTTGCCCATCCCAAATCTGCTGTGAGAGACGCACCGAAAAATCTTTCTGACAAGTTTTGCATGATGTCCAGTTGCTTCTCCATGCAAAGAGGAGCTTAAATATTATCGACAGTTTTTGCTCGGCATTTGAAAATCCTCCCGAAAAATCGCTTGCTTTTAGTTATATAGAAATTCTGCGGATCGAATGAGATTTCACAATTTGTCAGACACATTTTTAGAGGTGGCTGTCATGGAAGGCTCTGCCCAATTATATGCGAAAATATTGGCAATTGTCTGATTTAGAGTGATTATGCAACACGAGTGATTATTATCGGAAAACAAAAGCATGCATGAATTGGTCATGTTTTCCCAGCATGCCTCCTCCTTCCTTGCTTAATATCCAAAGCTGCTTCCACGCATCATGTGGCTGAACGCCCCATAATTCAGATGATACTTGTATCGGCTTTCTAGGCTAAGGGGTTATGAGATGCTGGGACATTATACTCGTTGAAGTTTTTTTTTCCAACCGTCTGCTCATGCTGTTTTTCCAACAGCATGAGCGGACGGATTCACGCAAATGCTCTCGCACATTCTCATTCCTCATTCCCCCTTCCCCTCTCCCCTCTCCCCTCCTTCCCCTGCAAGGATTTGCATGGCACCCGCCTTCTCCTCTCCTGTCTCGCTGTCTCGAAGTGTGGACAATAAGGACATACAGTCAACTCGCGTTAATCCGAACGCCGGTAATCCGGATCTTTCGGTAATACGGACATCTGGAATATTCCCGGCAGAAGTCCCATATGATTGATGAATTCTTATTAAAAAATCGTAAAATGGCAATTTTCAGGTTTACCGCCACATACTATTCAAATAAGACATACTGATCGAATGTGTTTTGAACTCCCAGTTATCTCATGCACATATCATGTCATCAGAAGCACCAATTTTCCCTCAGCAAGAATTTCTGTGAGTTCTGCTCGCGTATTCAGCCTTGCACTGGACGCGGATCAACTAAATCAGAAATCTAAATCAGAAAATTATGAATATTTTGGGTTATAATTGGCAGAGCCCTTCATGACAGTCGTCCTTGTCCGGCGTGATGACGTCAGCGAGCCGTTCCAGTATAAGGGAAATGGCTGCATTTCCCAAGCTCGAAATAATCCCGTAATCTACCATGGATCCGTGGTTCTCGGATCACACTGAACCGTTAAGAAGGGAAACTTGCTGTACATTTGCATTTGCATTTGCATTTGGGGTTTCCCTAGAAACGAAACGAATCCGTTTATAATTGATCGAAAGCAATTTTAAACTTGTGTCCCCTTTAGAATGCTATGCGGTGGAACTCATCGTTACATAAGGGAAAAGGGGAATCTTCCGTCCTCCCGCCTCCCATCTCTTCACTAATTGTTCCGTTTTGTGTGCTTCCGTTTTAAACTATATGTGTCATTCGAAACCCGTTGACGATAACTATTGGGTCGAGAGCTCAAAAATGTCAACCAGACATTTTTGAGGGATCTACAGAACGTGTGAGCAAGAGAGAACTTCTAGAGTCACAATCACAGTGGAATGAAGAGCATGACATTAACAAAACGCTGCTTCGCAGGCTGCTTCCAGGAACTGACAAAAATGTCAAAAAGAATGGCAGAAAGTCATTCAAGAAATGTTCGGGTTCGACTTATTTCAGCCCGTGCACGCACGGGAGCATGATTCATTACGGAGTACTGTCAGGAAAAGCATTTCTCGTGTCATTTTCTCGATTAAATCAAAATGAAACTTTTAATCGGGTATGGTTATTATTTGTGTCATTCTCTTGTGTCTCTTGTGTTGACCATAAAACGACCCCTGGACATGAAGCAGACTGGGTGGCATTTAATTTTTGGCTAGTGTCCCTGAACAGAAAAAACGTCAGTTGAGCCGCAACACTCAGATTAGGATCTCACTGGTATCTGAATTTTAGAAAATCCATAAAAGGACATTTATTCGCGTAATAGGTTGATTGCCGCCATAAGTTCGTTGATGTGTAACATCGGCGAACTGTCCTGTCGGGGAATTGACCGTCGTGGAATTGACTGGACATGTTATGCACATGTTCGTGGATTTTTCTTTTATTATTTTGTTAGCTGAATTGATTTAAAAGCAACATTTCCAGTTTCAGACAAGGGAAGCCATTTCATGTTACTTCATGATTCACTCCTGTACCACATACCTACATACGGTATACCCATACGGTATACCCCAAAAAAGCTTTTTGGTATACCCCAAATACCTCTTCGAAATCCCCAATTGGGAAAATATCCATGAATGGCATCTAAATCTGCCTGCTTCTGTGACAACACCATAATAAAATAGTCACTCTCTTTCTTGTCTAACCAGAAGTACTCCATTACTTCAGTGTCCTCCAAATCTGCATCCAGGAAGACTGCGTGACTCAATTTTTCCATAATTCTCCTTTTTATCTTCTCCACATCTACAATCTTCACACGTGAGTAGACATGGATGACGATAAGCTTGTTCTTGTCCTTGTTTTCCTTTATGAAGGCTAGCAGATCATCTCGCGAGAAGATCTTAGCTGTGCATGCA